TGCTGCTCCAACGGATCTGACAGAGGATAATTTTGAGCAATGCGTCTAACACAGCAGATCTGTTTGTGAAAGAAGGAGTAATTTCCAAAAGATACCATGTTTCATTTTTTAACCTCAAGTATATTGTAAAAATAAATATATTCTTTACAGGGCTGATAGAGGAAGTTCTAAAGTTCAAAGGAGATCCTTAGTAGTTTAACCAATTCATACCAGAGGAAGATTTTGCAAGATAGAATGGAAAGATTCATGCAATTGTTTTACACACACCAAGTAGGTCCAACCGTGAGAAATGCAGTGGGGGGGGGGGGATAATTTAATCCTAACCCAAACAGGTCATACTAAATGATTGCTTCCAACTCTATAATTTTGTGATTCTAGATTCTTTTGCACCCCCCTGACCAACTTCCCACTTTTTATTCTTCCTCATTTAAAAATGAATAATCCATGAGATAATGTTCGATTTAAAATGCTGCCAACTTTTTTGTCACACAGCTCTCTTCTTCACAGCAAGAGTCCTGTGACACAACCTCAATGTTGCTTCTCTAGAATCTCCCTCCGGGGGAGATGGGCACCATACAAATTTAATAAAGAAATAAATAAACAAATAAACAAACAAATAAATGCATTTTAAAAAATCTGATTTCTGCCTTTCTTTACCTTGTCATCCAGCTCTTGACCATAAAATTCCAATTGCACAAACTCATTGGTTCTGGAGACCTCTTCAGCTTCAATCTGCCGATAAAAATGGCCCCAAAATTCATCCTGAGACAGGAAAATGCAACATTGCCTGCCCTCCATATTCTTGAAAGCTGGTATTCTAGTTACTACTAAACTCTTCTCCCAACACTGAAAGGAAGGCCTGATTTTACTAAATGACTTAAAATATTCTAAAATGCCTATCATTTAAAAGAGCCATCACACTCCTCAATCCATCTCTCCCACCCTAAATTTGAAATCTATGGGGCTTAAATTCCTGTAGTCCAGGGGTTAATGGTGATCAGAGGAAGACAGGGAATAGCCAAGCTCAAATCTCCATTTTCCCTGCAAAGCACATAGCCTATGCTACCTTAAAAGGTTGTTGTGCAGACAGAATAGAATGGAGGGGAATACAAACCATTTCAAGAAAGGCAGATTATAAATATTTGCAAAGTAACGATGAGAATTTGCTCTCCAACAGCCAGAGCAAACAATTCCTGTAAATAAACCAAGCTGTACACCAGGGGAAGTAAACTAAATGTTGGTTACTAGAGGATAAGACGGGCGGGCAGAAGGTCAGCTGTTATGGGACTTGTGGTCCCAACGCATCTTGACTTTCAATTAAAATAAATTTCCACCCCAGGTTCTAAACCTCATGATACCCAGCGTTAGGTTGAGGAAAGACAGTTTCTGATCAGATCACGCTGTTTCCATCAGTCACTCCTACTGTTCTCTGCTCTGGGCTGTGACTCCTGTTTCTTTTTTCCTCAAAAATATCCTTGGTTTCACCTCTAAAATTAAGATCGTTTCCCATTTCTGTCCCCTCCTGCGCCTTCCCCTGGATTACGCTACCGTGATGGTTGAATTCTCCAAAGTCTCTCCATTTGGCAAAGCCAGCTCCTTGGTGACCTTGGTTTGGGAGACAATCTGAAGAGCCAGAAAAAAGGACAGAATGAATGTCTGAACGCATGGATGGATGGAAAGTTGGTTCTTTCTTTCCCACCCCAAAAGAAATGAAAGAGGTTAGCCCAGAGTTCAACATGGCATGTACAATTAGTTTCCCCCCAAAATCCCCTTTGTTTTCAGCTTATTACAGTACAACCCAACAAACTTTCAACCCAAGTTTCTAGACCTCATGATATCCAGCCCAGTTCAAATCCTTGCTTTGCCACAACATTCCTATGGAGGCAGCCTACCTTACCTTACAGTGGTTGGGATGAGGAAATTTGGGATAATCCTATCTATCTCCCACTGGGACCCCTGCCTCATCCCCAACTGAGGCTGCTCCTAGAAAACACCAAGCTAAAAAAAAAAATCACTGTGATGTGAAGTCCCAGCGATTCAACACTTCGACCGATCGCAATTCTCTCGCTGCTTCTCCCTCCCGGGAATTCGTGCTTAGCTGGATTAGTTGGCAAAACGTGCTTCCCAACATGAAGAGTCCAAGAGCCGGTCCAGGGAACCTCCAGCCACTTGACCCGGGTGGGGGGACCAAGCAGCTGGGCCCAGAGACAGCAGGACAGAGGACATCAACATCTGGAGGCTGCTGGGTGCAAAGAGCCTAACGCGAAGCTCCAGCAGGATTTGCTCTATTTCTGGCTGGGATGTCGTTCAGTTAAGCCTCCTGCTGACAGGGATGCCGTGAGGGGGGCACGCAATGGAGGGGAGACCCCCAGGGCTTTCTCTCCCTCCTGGACTGGATCTTTATGCCCACCCCTCTTCCCCCATGATCCCCTTCCTTTCCATTTGCTTCAACCCCCTCCCCTTTCTCAGCCTTCATTCTGCTGTATGTCCCTTTTTTTCCTCCCTTTTATTCTCAGTATTCTTCTGAACTTCTAAACCCATTTACCACTCTCTGTACTGTAGTACCCAGAACTAGACATG